TGCCAGTCTGCTGTTAACAAAGCAGAATTGATTTATTTTATTGCTACTCATTCCGGTCTCAACCTCATGGCCCTAACTAAGATTTGGATCAAACCTGAGAACACTGCCACTCCTGCAGCCCTCTCCACTAATTTAACTTTTTCCCACACCCCTCGCACGATTGGGAGGGGTGGAGGTACTGGTCTCCTTATCGCAAATGAATGGATGACAACACTTTAGTTACTCCACTGCACACCTCAGACCACTTCCTCATCACTTCTAACCTCACACTAACTCCTGACACAGCACACACTCCTCCGCAGGTCACCTTTCGACGTAACCTACGTTCACTCTCTCCCTCTCGCCTATGCTGTATGGTTTCATCCTCACTTCCTTCACCCTCTCAGTTTTCAGCACTGGACACAAACAGTGCTACTGACACTCTTTGCTCCACTCTAACATCTTGCTTAGACAACTTGTGCCCACTTTCATCCAGACCAGCGCGCACTACCCCCTCTGCCCCCTGGCTGTCCGATGTTCTCCGTGAACATCGCTCTAAACTCAGGGCTGCAGAGAGGAATTGGCGCCAATCAAAAAACTCTACCGACCTTAGTGTGTATCAGTCATGGTCTTCAATGAGCCAAAAAAAGCTCACGTTACTCCTCTCCTCATTAGGTTACACTGGCTACCAGTAGCATCGCAGTACCAGTAGCTCGCATCAAATACAAGGTACTGATGCTTGCCTACAAGACCACCACTGACGCTGCACCAATATACCTAAACTCGCTAGTTCAAACTTTGTCCGAGTCATTGATGTTAATCAAGCAACAAAAGAAAGACAGAAAATCATGTACTGCTCTTGACTGAAAAACTTTAGTAGCCCTAAATAATAATCTAAATTTATTTATAGAAATAAATATGTCTGCTTGAAAGAATGAAGAATATGGTAAACAAGTTGCTATAAAGAATGCATAATTAGCCTATATAACCATTGGTATTTCATTAGAAAGAAGACCTTGTTCTTGTCCTTTATGAGAAATGGTTTTATTTAATTTTAACATAAAGGCATGTTGTGTGTCACCGCAGTTAAATTGGTGTCTATCATGATAAAACCTTAATATCAAACCTATATAATGAGTTTGGAAATTTTAGAGAAATGCTTAATAAATGCATTACACTAACTAAACCCATTAGATTTTAGCCGACTAAATTTACTGTAGATTTAGTCGACTAAAACTAGACTAAAACTAAAAACAATTCAGATGACTAAAATATGACTAAAACTAAATGGCATTTTAGTCAAAAGACTATGACTAAAACTAAATCGAAATTTGCTGTTAAAATTAACACTGGTCTCCACCCTACTCAATCACACCAGCTCAGACCTGCTCCAGTTTCACTCAGTTAACTGAAGTAGTAAATGCTACACAATGGCATGCGTCAATATTGCATAAATGGTTATTGGAGTGTGAATCTGTGAGTTTATTCATATTCTGAATGGATTATAACCTACAAAGCATGCAAAAAGCTCTCCCCTTATAATTACTAAAAAGCTGCCACTTACTTTAGAATTGTGACATTCAGTGGTGGTTCTAGCTTGTATGGTGCCTTGGGCCACCCCTAAATGAAATTAATTTTACACAAAATTTTCTATTTGATATAAATGTATATATTTAAACTATTCAGGCAAATAAATGATAAAATCCCCCCCCCCCCACAAACACACAAAACACACAAACGTACAACTGTACAGTAAAAACATTAATAAAATGAATGATGTTACGTTTGTAAAAAAAAAAAAAATACAAATACAATACAAAATCACGTTTTACTGTCTGGTTATGTAAGCTAGTTGGACAGAATAAAGGAATGTTGTTGCCCTATGTGCAATAACATATCATAACATAAAATATATATTAACCTATTTTAGCGAGATGAGTGATGATGAGCGAGATGATAGCTGCATAGATACCATTTATCTTTTGCACATTTCCCCTCGTTTATTTTCCTGAATTGGGCTCCTGATGGCTTACATTCGCACTCTCCCTACTTAATTCACATAAGTGAAAGTGAAATAAAATGAAAATGCAATGCTCATGCTGCATCATATTTTTTTTTTTACAGTGGTGCACATTATAACCAATCACACACTATTCCATTGAGTTTATGAATGCAGTGGCCAATCAGAGGTGTTCAAATGAGCTCGCTCACGGAATTCTGCACTCTCACGAATTCTCTCTTCATAAACAACAATATATCTCCATATGCACACTCCGAGTCTTGACTAGGTTAATTGACCCACACAGTGACATGCATATGAGCAGTAAAAACCTGATACATGTACTTAATATTCTATTTGCAATTTTAACTTTTAATTGTAATTTTAACTGAAAGCGACACTGACACTGTTTTTTGCTTGCTTTTAAGCAATCTAATTCATAGTGTTATATAAATAAACATGTCGTTACTAGACTTTACTGAAGTGCCGAATTGCAGAGCTCATGCAAACACATCCACATCACTATGCTTTCTTAACTGCTGGTTTCTCATCGCTGTCATGTTTGTTGAGTGATTATTTTGTTATTGCCAGAAAAGCGCATAGCACATATTCATATAAATCCTGCTCTCAACAGCATCAGGAGTTTGCTAACAGTAACCACTACTTGCATATGGTATATCAAACTTCTTTTTACCTCCTAATTGAAGAACGAAAAAGAACTACACTTTGTATATCAGGGCCTTTACACATGACAGCATTTTTTTGGGATGTGGTTCTGTAAAACTTTCCCACACTTTGCAGAAACAACTGGAATCCAGGCAGCGAAACGTAGATTTTCAGTTACCATTTTCTGTCTTATATGTTGAATTTTGGGGTAAAATCGTACCCTTGGTTATATATTGTATTGACAACTCACAAAAAAATATTAACTTTTTACCATTTTGATGAGTCTTTTGTTCTACAGGAGGATGATTTATTAAGGTTAGGCAAACCCAGTTTTCTTTACAAAGCAAGTGTGTGTAGATGGATGGATGGATAGATAGATATAGAAGCACAAACCCTATTTAAAATGCATAATTTCAGCGTGATATACATGATAATCAGAACCAAAACAGATGTTTTTAGCAGGTACGAGCTGTAATAGAGTCGGGGAACTATGACGTCACTTTGTATGCGGATTGGCTGTTAGCATCACACTGGTTCCCTCGACAAAAAGCCAATGGGATTTTTCCATAGGCTTTTGGATTATCGCAAAAAATAAGCTATGTGTTCAATCATAGTTCATGAAACTTACGCGTTTTGTCCATCAAGATAATCTTCACAAAATAATATAACTTTTATGAATTTTTAAGCCAAAATAAAAGCGCCAGAACTTAAAAGCTAAACTTAGGCTATAAACGAACTACAGCACCACGTCGCTCGCCTTCAACGTCACCACCACCACGCTCCCGGACAACTTTTTCAAACTTATTTTTAACACGTTTTTTTTAACGTTCAGTGAAAAGGATTTACTCCTGTGAATGAATTTTAACCCACGCTACATGAACCTTTTCATATAAACTGGAATAAATACAAAACTAGAGCCAAACTAAAACTGAAATGAGACATTAGTAATAAATAGTATAGTGAATAAATGAAATAATCATAACTAAACGACACATGAAAGCACGTATTTCTGTACATTTTGAAATAAGAAGCATTAAAAGTGAATAAATCTTTGATTAATATGAATATTTTAATTAAAAAGGTGTCCACGTACTATTCAATAAAATTCTAGTGCATTTAATCTATTAAATAACAGCAGGGTGAGCGAGTTTTTGGATATGGTAAGATTAAGCTTATTTTAGTGAATAAAGTACCACATTTCAGCTATCGTTTTGTTAGGATGGGTACACACACAAATGTTATTTTATCCTTGCTTCTAGAAAATCCTCAATCTATATGTTTTCTAACAGCTGCTTGTGGCTGTAAACATTTCATTTTAACATGGCTTTAAGCATTATGCATCATTAAAGTTTCACTTTCACCACGACTAAGCCGGTAAATGTGGTGTTTACATGGGATAATCAATATGAGTTTACCTTATGGTCCGAACCCAGAGTCTCCGCATAAGTAGGAAAGCGATAAAACAAGCATTATCCATCTGAAGACTTTTGTGTTGCATTTCGGGGCAAAGCAAAAAAACATTGTCAAACAACAATATAAAATGAGGTAAACTATTAATTGGTTATTCTACAATTAATTGTACTATATAAATGATACTACAATTGGAAAATACTGTAAATTGATCAACTGTTCGGCGTGATGACGTTTAATGTCTCCGACAGCGTCTGTAGTCCCATTTAGCAACTTGTTAGCAGCTGTCTTTTTTAAGAAATGTAACGGTTTTAAAAAATCACGAGTGGGGTGTAACTGGTGTGTTTTATGTCGTAGAATAAAACGTGAAAGTATCTTGAGCTTGTGTGAACCACGAACCTTATTTTAGGGGATTTAACCAAACTTCCATTCAAAAAACCCATTGATTCTCGGACGATGGAACCGGAACTCGCTTCCGGGTTTTTGCCTACAAAGTGACATCATAGTTCCACTACTCTATGGCGCAGCTCTATTCTGGAAAAGGGGGCGGGGAGCAGCAGCTCACTTGCAGTTAAAGAGACAGGCACGAAAACAGCGTGCAGACAGCGTGTTTCTGCTACCACTCAAAATAGGCATTTTCAAAATGATGTAATAAATGATCTGTGGGGTATTTTGAGCTGAAACTTCACAGACACATTCTGGGGACACCTAAGACTTATATTACATATTGTAAAAAGGGGCATAATATGTCTCCTTTAATACATTCTGTGGTGATTTTTTTTCTGTGCTTGCTAGTGTCAAATGTGTTTTGTTATAATTGTGAGTGATTGTTTTTAAGAGATTGTTTTTATTTTCCTTTTTTCATTTTAATTAAATGTTTTAGTTAATTATTGTGTCTCATGAATAGATACTAACTCTATATTGTGTGTTATTTCTGTTTTTACAGGAGTTTTTTGAGCATGCAAAGAATCTGTGGGATGATGAGGGGGTGAAGGCCTGTTTCGAGCGCTCAAACGAGTATCAGCTCATTGACTGTGCACAGTAGTGAGTATCTGTTTTGATACGTGTCAGCTTTACTTCCACAGTAGTGCTGTCATCTCCCACAGCGTGTCTCCTGATCATCTATCATATTTGCTGAGTGAAGGTTTCTTGTCTGAGAGTTGCTACAGAACCCGTGTGCAGCACAACCTATTGGATAATGCAGAGTGGATCTTTTTATTTGTGTGACCCACTGATGCAGTGCAGTGTCTAAACTTTCTCTTCGTCTCACTTTTTGTGCATTTGGATTCCTATGCAGGTCTTTACTTAGTATAATAGGCTGTATGACGATGAGGAAGGAATACTCTAAGAAATAGTTTGGTATGCAGATGTTATTGACTTGACGTTTCTAAAATTTCTCTCTAGACCAGGGGTCTCCAACCCTGCACCTGGAGAGCTACCTTCCTGCAGGGTTGGAGACCCCTGCTCTAGACATTTCTCTACCAATTCATATAGTACTGATTTGCTTTGGTAGCATCTACAACAAAAAAAGTCACCTGGAGAGCTACCTTCCTGCAGGGTTGGAGACCCCTGCTCTAGACATTTCTCTACCAATTCATATAGTACTGATTTGCTTTGGTAGCATCTACAACAAAAAAAGTCAATTTAAATGGCTCATTGTTAGGGCTGCACGATAAATCGCATGCGATATTTAATGCGCATCTTGTCAGTAAATCCGCTTCTGTAATCAGTGGTAACCGTTGTTCACTGACAAGCTGCGCAAAACCACGTTCATATATAGTGAACAACAGCTCTGTGTAGTAAATGCTGCTTCATGTGAAAGCACGCACGTGATGGAGATTTACCGCTGATTACAGAAGCGGCTTTACTGACAAGATGCGCATTAAATATCGCATGCGATTTATCGTGCAGCCCTACTCAATTGTTAAGTTTAACAAAAATTTAATTTTAAGGGCCCTATGAAATATGTTTTTTTCCCCTTTCAAAATCTGTTTTATTTTTACCAAATTTGGTGTTTTCTATTAAAATTTTTCTGTAAAAATTAAAAATGGAAAATTGTAATTATATATTTTTATTATTAAATGATAATAATAACAAATATATATTATTATTATTACATTGGGACATACATTCTACTGCACAACAGTACCATATTTTTCTGAATATAAGACAGCGTTTTTTTTCCTTGGAAATACATCTGAAAAAATTAAATCGTTTTATATTCAGGGTCTAGACCAGGGGTGTCAAATTAAATTCCTGGAGGGCCAGATCCCTGCAGAGTTTAGATTCAACCCTAATTAAACACACCTGATCCAACTAATCAAGTCCTTCAGGCTTATTTGAAAACTACATGAAATCTGTGTTGGAGCACGGTTGGAACAAAACTCTGCAGGGCTCCGGCCCTCCAGGAATTGAGTTTGACACCCCTGGTCTAGACTTTTAACGAGTGTGCCCCCCAGGACTGAAGTGACCCACTAGTGTTTATTGCACTACTGTGTTATGACATCAGTGCCAAGTGTTTCTTAAAGGTAGGGTAGGCGATTTCGGAAAGTTAGCAATAGCGAGCTAACTTTTGAAAGCAAGATCCCCACCCTTCCTGCATAATCACTCAAAGCCACACCTCCTCCAAAACACATGAACACTCACAGGGATACCCAAGACGTGTCACTCGTATAGTTTTGAATGGGGAAAAATTCAATGCTCAATATGGCTGCTCTATCAAAGGAAGCCCTGCCTTTTCAGTAAAAGAGCCAATCGCTAATCGGTAAAGTCATCGCGTCACTGCAGCTGCCATTAGAAGTCCCTGTTGCTATAGGGCAAACTCCAAACTGCTTTTTTGCACCCTTGAAGGGCACTTTGGGTAGGGGACGCCATTTGTAGGGACGTTCCAAACGAAAGTGAACAACTGAATCCCTTCATGAAGGGCCCTTCCAGAAGTCGGTTAGCAAAGGGAACATGCGATGGTCACTTCACGGAAGTGATTTCCGTTTGTGATCATGTGATCTTTGCTTAGGAGATCGTGCAATGCATTTTAAAAGCAAAGTTGGGGTCGGTTTCGACTTCACATACAAACGTAAGTAGAATAGGCTAATTAAATTTGTCTTTATTTTAATGTAATACAAAATATTTTTGTCAGTGATAGAAATATGATTTAAGACGGTAGTGTAAGCAAGTTTAAACAAGTTAAGTTTGAAAAGGTTTAATAGTAAATAAGACACAATTAGGCAATATTTGAATAAAATAAAAATAAGAAGAAATATTTATTTGCAACAACTGATAGAGTGCTGAATGCTGCACGCACACACAGCGTTGTCAAGGTAACATTTGGTCAGTCATTTCCTTCACCAAGGGAGTTCCAAAAGAGACCGTAATGCCCTGCCTACACCCTTTAAAGAACACGCTTCAAGGGCTCTCTCTGTCGATGGGAGTAGGGTATAGGGATGCTCACTTTCGTTTGGAATTCGCCCATAGAAACCGTCAATGTTCTGAGACGCACGCTTAGGACTGTGCATGCGCACTGGCAGGTCTAGCCTGAAAAATAACTTTTTAACGCTATTTGAGTAAAAGAAACAACATTTATGAGACAGTTGTTGTCAAATTTCATTGGTGATTTCCAATATGAAATTTAATTGTAAGCTTGGCAAACAGTTTTGGAGAATTTGATGTTTCCTCATTCAAAAAGATAGCAGCTGCACTGCATGCCCGAGAGACTTTTCAAAGATGACCGCAGAGTTAAATGACTTGCCTTAAAGGGACTTTGCACAGGCAGACCAGACGCTGACCAGTGATACGATGAGAGACGGCATTGGTGGAGGTTTGAATGCATTGCTGTCAGATTACTTAATGTCTCATTCTCCGGTGAGAAAACATTACAGTACAAAGCTCGTAATATTACAATATAACGCATTTCATTCTAGCTGGAACGCACTGATGACATATCATATCAGTGTTTCCCACAGGATTTTGTGAGACTGTGGAGGAGGTCCTCGATCCCTCTAGGGGTGTCCGGGGGCATGCCCCCCCGTAAGAAAATTTTGTACATTTTAAAGTCTGTGCGCGTCTGTTAATTTTAGGCCATGCTTGCAAGAGATAAACCCTTGAGCTTTTATTTTGGCGGAAAACTCCAGCTTCTGTGAAAACAGGTTTACAAACATTACTAATTTAATGAAATACTGTAAACATTTGCCCATTAAAATGTTGAAAATTATGCAAATGTGCAAATTATGTATACCTGGTGGCCGTTGCATTCCCAAACGCGCTAAACTCACAGCACATTCAATAACGGAGTTCACTGCATTCACTGTAAACGGAGCTGCTCTGAGACGCGGAAAACACCGGATCACGAGCCGATCGCGTGCGCTGCGCAGTGGGCCGCCACAGTCTAGTTAATGAATGGGAAACACTGCATATCTGCGCAAACAGGGTGCGTAGAGGTATGCAAATACATAATTTGACAGGCAGGCAGGACAGCCTATTGTAATATTAGGACCAAGCATTTTGATTGGATTTACATTTTATGGTCCTACGCCTTCCACAGAAGATACAAATAAATATAATTAAACTTAGACCACTTAACTTAGTGATTGCTATCGGGGTGTGAAGAGACTTTCAACCAGCAGTAAAAAAAATGTTTTTGAACCAAATCACCTACCCTGCTTTTAACTGGTGGGTCGCGGAATGTGCAGTCAAAGAAACAACAACAAACATGTTTTGTTTTTCTAATGTGAGATTTTTATTTTGAAAGACATGCGTGAAAGCTGTTGACACTTCTGTCAGACGTGCCAGAGAAAAATGCGTTGTCCTAATTCAGTATCTGCGGTCAGATAAATTGTTGTTGGGCTATATGTCATTATTCAAATGTTATTTTCGTATCTTGTTAACAAAATAAAATAAAAAAAGTCTCTCACCTCAGAAAAATGTGAAAGATATACTGAGTTCGTTGCATGCACTCTTCAATTGCAAGCGCTAATGCGGCATCGCACAGTGTATATCACTTCATTATGAATAAAGCTCAAAAGAAAGTACGAGCATGCAAAGTCATTATGATTAGGGATGGGCGATATGACCAAAATCTTATTTCACGGTATGAGAAATTTTATTTCACAATAACAATATATATCTCGATGTAGCTATTTTTTTTGTTATTAAAAATAAGAAAAAGAAACAACTTACAAACACAATAGCACAAATAAATATAAAATAAACTCTTAATTTATTCAGCTACAGTAGGTTTATTCAACATGCAAGAAATTTTACAGAAATTGAATGAAGTGTATAAATAAAACACTGCATAGTCTTCACTGTATCAATCAAACATGCACTGATTCTTATTAAAGATACAAAAGTGATTCAGTCAAGTGCAGTGAGTAATTAATATTAATAATGACAGACAGCAGCAGGTAAATTGAATAGTCATTTAATTATTATTATTAATTTTAATTATTTATTAATAATAATTTAATCCTTTACTATCTCTGAGTATCAACAGCTCCTTTGAATCACATTCAGCCACTATTACCCACCCTCTTTAAATCCATTTTATAGTTGTTTATCGACCCCCAGGACCACTAGATAACTTCGTGGAAGAATTAGATGTGCTGCTCTCAAACTTTCCTGAGGATGGTACTCCCCTAGTTATGCTTGGAGACTTCAACACCCATCTAGATAAACCTCAGGCTGCAGACTTCCACACTCTGCTTGCTTCCTTTGATCTCAAGCGACTATTAACTACGGCTACTCACAAATCAGGCAACCAACTGGACCTTATTTACACACGACACTGCTCCACTGATCATATACTGGTTACTCCACTGCACATCTCGGATCACTTCCTCCTCACTCTTAACCTCAACATGGTTCCTGACACAACACATACATGTCACTTGCCACATGTCACTTTTCGACGTAACCTACACTCTCTCTCACCCTCCCGGCTATCTGCTATGGTTTCATCTTCGCTTCCT